ATGTTTAAATAGTTATGAGAAGTCCTGCCTGGGGAAGATGAGGATGGTTCTTGAACCAATATTAATACATTATTATTAACCAAAGTCTGTAGTTTAAGATTCACTCATGTTGTACATCCCATGAATTTTGACAAATTTATGACAGGAGTCCCTTATTATAATCATCAGATCTTTTGCCCACTTTTAATTGGGTTGTTAGTGTTGATAATGGTAGTTGAGGTTTTAATTTTTTTTGCTTAGGATCCATTTTAATTTTTGTGAAAGGTGTAAGGTCTGTGCCTAGACTTATTTTGCATGTGGCTCCCAGTTGTTACAGCACCATTTGCTGAAAGACCATCCTTTCTCCAGTGAGTTCCCTTTGCTCCTTTGCCCAAGATCAGTTGACTGTGTATGGATCTACTTCTGGCTTTGGACTCTGTTCCCTTCTACTTCTGGCTTTGGACTCTGTTCCCTTGATCTAGGTCTGTTCTTTCTCTACTGTTCGATTACTCTAAGTCCTCTGACTTTTTCTCCTTTAACACTGTTTTATTCTGAGTATTTTGCCTTTCCAGATAAACTTTAGGATCCTTTTGTTGAGCTCCACAAATAACTTGCTCAGATTGTGATTAGGATTCATTGACTCGAAAAATCAAGTTGGGAAGAAGTAATATCTTAACAATATTCATCTTCCTATAAATGAACAAGGATTATCTCTTCATTTATTTACACCTTTGATTTCTTTCATCTGAGGTTTGTAGTTTTCCTCATATAGATTTTGTACATATTTTGTTAGATTTATACATAATTATTTCTTTTGTCTTTTTTTTCTGGTGCTAATGCTATAATTGGTGATGAGTTCCAAGATATTTTTATTGATTCTTTGGGATTTTTCATTTGGCCAATCATGTCATTTGTGAATGACAATTTTATTTTTCCCTTCCCAATATGTATACCTTTTATTCCCTTTTTTATTTACTAGAGGCATTGGGGGGGTCCCTCAGCCCGGTCTGCACCCTCTCCAATCTGGGACCCCTCGGGGGTTGTCCGACTGCCAGTTTAGGCCCAATCCCGTGGATCAGGCCTAAACTGGCAGTCGGACATCTGTCTCGCAATCCAGGATCGCTGGCTCCTAACCGCTCACCTGCCTGCCTGCCTGATCGCCCCTAACCGCTCTGCCCCACCAATCTGTTCACCCCTAACCATTCTCCCCTGCTGGCCTGATCGCCCCTAACCACTGTGGCTTTGTCCGGAAGACGTCCGGTCTAATTAGCATATTACCCTTTTATTAGTATAGACTAGAGGCCCGTTGCACGAAGAGATTCATGCAAGACCTTCCCTTCCCCTGGCTGCCGGCACTGGTTTTCCTCCGGCACCTGGGACCCAGGCCTTCAGTCTTCGCTGCTCCAGCCAGAGCCTTCAGCCTTCACACTTCACTCCACCGCTTCGTGCCTACGTATGCAAATTAACCACCATCTTTGTTGGGTTAATTTGCAGTCTCCTGATTGGCTGGTGAGCATAGTGGAGGGACGGTCAATTTACATGTCTATTATTAGGTAAGATTGCATTAGCCAGGAGTTCCAGTTTGATGTTGAATAGGAGTTCTGAGGGGACATCCTTTCACTGTTCCTGATCTTACCAAAAAAGCATCTACTTTCTCACCACTAAGTGTGATGCTAGCAATCATTTTTTGGTAGGTGTTGTTTATCAAGTTGAGGAAGTTCATCTCTATTCCTAGTTGTTGAGTTTTTGTAATGAATGGCTGTTGGGTTTTTGTCAAATGCTTTTTCTGTATCTATTGATATTTTTCTTCTTTAACTGATTAATGTGGATTACATTAATTGCTTTTGTAAGGTTAAACCAGCTTTGCTTAACTGAAATAAGTCCTATTTGGTGGTGGTATATAATTCTTTTATACAGTGTTTGATTCCATTTACTAATATTTTATTGAAGATCTTTGCATCTATGTTCACTCGAGATATTGGTCTAGTTTTCCTTTCTTGTAATGTCTTTGGCTTTTGAATTAGGGTAATGCTGGCCTCTTAGAATTAGAAAATTCCCTTTTCTGCTATTTTCTGGAAAACACTGTAGAGTTGGTAGAATGTCTTAAATGTTTGATAGAATTCATCAGTGAACCCATCTGGCCTGGTGCTGTTTCATAGATTATTAATTATTGATTCCATTTCTTTAGATATAGGTCTATTCAAATGATCTACTTATGTAGATTATGTCTTTCAAATAATTGATCCATTTCTTCTAGGTTATCATACGTATGGGCATAGAATTGTTTGTAGTACTATTCCTTTATTATCCTTTTAATGTCTATAGAATCAGTAGTGATGGTCCTTCATTCATTTCTGACATTAATTTCTTCTCTAGTTTTTTCTTAATTAGCCATACTAGAGTTTTATCAATTTTATTGGTCTTTTCAAAGAATTGGCTTTTGGTTTTCTTTATTGATTTCCTGTATTCAACTTCATTTATTTTTGCTTTTTGTTTTTTGCTTATTTTGGATTTAATTTGCTCTTCTTTTTATAGTTTCCTAGGGGCTTAGATTGTTGATTTGAGATCGTATTTTAATTATATGCATTCAGTACTATAAATTTCCCTCTAAGCACTGCTCTTGCTGCATTCCATGTTTTGGCAAGTTGTATTTTCATGTTCATTTAGTTCAAAATAGTTCTCAATTTCTCTTGAAACTTCTTTGACTCAAATGTTATTTAGAAGTGTGTTTAATCTCAAGCATTTTGGTATTCTTCAGCTACCTTTCTGTTGTTAGTTTTATTTCACTGTGATCTAAGAGCATACTTTATTTCTATTCTTTTAATTTGTTAAGGTGTTTATGACCCAGAATATGGTCTGTTTTGGCCAATGTTTCATGTGAGTTTGAGAAGAATGTATATTCTGCTATGTTCAATGAACTATTCTGGGGATGTCAGATCCAGTTGATTGATGGTATTGAGTTCAATTATGTCCTTATTGAGTTAATGCCTGATGGATCTGTGAATTACTGACAGGAAGTGGTGACGTTTCTATAACAGTGAATTCATCGATTTCTCCTTGCAATTCTGTCACTTTTTGCCTCACATATTTTGCCACTCTGTGCAAGGTGTGTACACATTAAGGATTGTTACGTGTTCTTGGAGAATTGATCCCCGTATTATGTAATGTACCTTTTTATCCCTAATTTTCCTTGCTCTGATGGTTTACATTGTCTGAAATTAATGTAGCTACTCCGGCCTTGTTTTGATTAGTGTTAATTTATCTTTCTTTGCCTCTTCACTTTTATCTGTTTATAAATTTAAATGGGTGTTTTGGGTAGATAATATATAGTTGGGCCTTTTAAAAATCTAGTTTGATAGTCATTTTATTAATATGATGTTTAAAGTGATTGAAAAATTGATATAATTGGAATAATTAAAAACAAAGTTAACTGTCTGTTGCTGGCAATTTAAAAATTAAAGGACATTCTAATAGTGCTGCCCCCCCCCCCCCAAGAAGGGGGAAACTAAATGAAGGTTTGTATTTTCTCATTTGGGCCTCAAAGATGAAAACTGTGTCTGATCTTCAGCAAAATAAAGATATTATTTTTTAAAATATATTTTATTGATTTTTTTTTTTTTTTACAGAGGGAGAGGGTTAGAGAGATAAACATCGATCAGCTGCCTCCTGCACACCTCCTCCTGGGGATGTGCCCGCAACCAAGGTACAAGCCCTTAAACCGGAATCGAACCCGGGACCCTTGAGTCCACAGGCCGATGCTCTATCCACTGAGCCACGCCAGTCAGGGCAAAATAAAGATATTTAGGAACTGCTGTGCTATATAAGTCCAGACGTAGTATTTGTTGATCTCTTTTCCTCTTCAATTCACTGTAATCACCTTTTCTTCCTCCTGTTTGAACTAGTTGTATGACCCTGGGCAAGTTATTTAGCCTCTGGTCTGCTTTCTACGCAGTGAACTGTAAGGATTAAGGGAGTAAAACATGCCTAGGACTTTGCGTTTATCATCATTCGAGCCGGGGGGTTGGCTTAGGGGGTGGGACCTCAGAAGGACAGTGAGTGGACTGGGCTGTGAGGCGAGGCCCTGGCCCTCCTCTCGGCACCGGGCACGGCACCCTGCGCTACAGTCCCAGCCCTTGGTGCACTGAGAGCCGAGCCGGAAGCGCTGGGAAAGCACATGTTCCAAGCGAACAAGGTGGATGGAGTCTGTCTGAGGACCATGGTCTCTAGCGAGGGGCCTGGGGGCCTGCACACTGGCTGCACCCACACCGCACCCCGTTTTGTTCCGTGTTTTGTTCCGTGTGTCCTGACACCCGCTCTGCACCCAGCGGGCGCGGGGCCTTGAAATCGGCCTGAGGTCCACCCGTTTCTCCAGCTTCATGGTCCCTGTCCCAGAGATGAGCTTAGAGGGACTTAGAGGGACCCGGGCAAAGGGCGGAGCTGGCGGCGGGAGGCCCGCGGGCTGCATTCTTCAAGGACATTCTTTTAAAGAAACGTCTTAAAAATCGTATTGAAAAACCTGGACTTGGAGCTTTCTTCACAAGCTATGGTGAAGGGGCCCGGCAGCGGCGGGCTCGGCCGGTCCCGTTAAAACCTGGCCGTTGAAAGGTCTGCTGGACGCCATGGGAGGGTCCGGTAAACTTTAACCTTACACCCTGTGGGAGAAACACGCTCGCTCCTCCTGATGGCCGCGGAGTACTAACAGCACGCGTGACTGGCTCCAGGACGCGTGAGGACGGTGTAGGAGAAATCTGATAAGGCCCAGAGCCGCGGACACCTTTCTCTACTGATCCTTCGCTCTTCCCCCAAGAACCAAATGCCCGGGAG